TGTTTTTAAAGAATTTTACAGTATTTTTTTGTATACTTAGTTTATTATTTAGTATTTCCACAATATGCATATAGGTACCACCAGAGAAACACAAAAATAATATACTGTGGTTATAGCACTTATAATTTTTTTTCTCGTATACTGTGAAAGCTCTTTGATAATCAATTAGAGCAATTCATGGCATAAATCTATACTATTTTCTGTGTGCCAGGTACTCTGTTAGATTTTCAGATAAAAATTCGATTGCTTGTTTTTATTGCCAGCTTTTCTCAGCAATGCATTTTTGTCTGTAAAACAAAAATACGAAATAATACATAAATTAAAATTGGTGCCCAACCAAGGCCATCTTTTCATAGAATGTTCTTTATTTTTTCATTCAACAAATATTTATTTATTTATCTATTCATTTATTTTTAATATGGCTCATATTGTGTGAACAAATATTTATTAAACTCCAAAAATATTTTATATGCCTGAAATGTATTGTTTGCTTGCCAGATAGAAATGGAGAAGCAAAGAGAAAAAGAGAGAAAGCACTCTTCAATGGGGTGTGGTCATGTTGCAATTTCTCCTCCTTTATTTCTTCACCTTGTAGGGGTTTGGGGCATGCACACATATCTGATGTATTTTCAAGCCACTGGGCTAGGATTCCAACCTCTGTTAGTCATGTAGGATCCATCTCTCACCCCTAGGCTGTGGTACTGGCCCCCTCTTAGAGATGTTTTTAAACCACACTTATAACATGTCAGGATAATTCAAACTTCCTAATTTAGAGGAGAAGAAGAAGATTATATATATATATATATATGAGATAAATATTAAGAATATATATATTCTTATATATTATGTATATATATGAAAAATATATCATATATATATATGAAGGATATACATATATGTGTGTGTGGATACATATGTATTTATAGTGTTATTTAAACTGATTTCTGAAAATATAAGGTAGTCATGAAGATGTCAATGTGTTGTGATGGTTCCAAACTAAAAAAAAAATAGAAGAGAGATGACATATTATAGAAACTGGAATCATTCTGCATGGCTAAAATTGAGCTTGATTTCAAGTGTAGTTAAAGTTGAAGAAAATATCAGATTATACAGGAATTCATAGGGCATGGCATAGAATTGGAACCAAGAAGGCACTGGAGTGTGAAGAACCGAATGGCAAGGGTAGAATTTATGACACATCCCTTTACACTGGCACATAGGTAGAAGATCATATATTAAAAACAGATTAGACATTGTTGATTTTGATAAGGAAGTTTTTGTTCCTAGTGCATCATCTAATTTGACAGCTGTAACTATTTCCTGGTACAGGTAACCAGTTTATTTCTACCTGATCCTAATGTTGTTTAGTACAGCAGAAAGAAAACATGCTTTGTCTCAGAATTTTCTTGTGCAGGAAAGTAAAAAAATTGTTTAGCACAGGAACAGAAGAATATGTTGTTCAATTCTCAGCTATTAAGAAATGAAAATGAAAGCTAACAAAAACTGCAAGAAAGACAATAATGTCTTGTCAAGAGCAGTTTCCTTAGATCAGTGGTTAGGGAAGTCAGATTTGCCATGGATTGTGGACTGTTTATAGGGTCAGGACTTGAAGTTAATGAATGAAGACAGCACTTTCAAGACATTTGATTGTGAAAGGAAATAGAAAAAAAAGGAGTTATGGCTTGAATAGGTCATGAGATTGAAGAATGAATTTTCACTCATTTTATTTTTTATATATGTTGTTAGGGAAGACTTAAACATGTTTAAATTGTGATAGAAAGTATATTGGATTTTTCAGAAGGCATTTCTTGTAATTTTGATTTTTATGTAGTTGGGCCACAATAAAAATAAAAAGTACATTGTTAGATCATTATAATAATGCATAATAAGGAACTCTTAAATTGGAAAGCAACTGTAAAGTTTTATAAGGTGAAAATATATAAAAAAAAATAGACAATTACAACAATATAATTCATTGCCCAGATATTTATTTCATACTTATGGGAAACATTGTGAAATATCTCAATTTCCTAAAATTTTAAGATTTGGTTATTTAATAAGATGAATGTGTGATGGAAAGAAGGCTAAATAATAAAAGTTTAAAAACTGAAGTTTAAAAATGGATAAATGTCCTGTTGTAGAACCTCATTATTAACCCATCCTGAATCAAAGGTCAAGGAGAACAAGTTTTTCCCAAGTTTGACTAAGATCAGAAAATAATTTACAAAGAAAAGTTTGTTCAAGAGAATATCAAATTGCACAACATAACCATCTACCTGACAGAGTGAATGAATTTGGAGAAAAGTGACTTGCTTTGGGCTTACTGGGGAGATACTCACAGCCCAGCTCACACAGACGGGCCTCATGTGCTCAGGCAGATCTCCAGACCGTCCCACACAGGCTTGCTTCACCGATCCTAGTCTTCACCACAGAGCCATTGTCTAGCCATTCCAAGATAGAAAATTATATTCATTGTATGAATTAATATTTCATTGAACATATTTCATTCATTTCTAAAGCTATGGTTCGTTGCTCTTTATCTCAGTATCTTAGTGTATTTTTTGTTAATGTATGTTTCAATTTCCCCCATTTTTCTTCATCTACATCCAATCTACTAGTCAAATATATCTATCAAAATCTCAGTTTAAATTATGATATTTCCTCATTTATTTCCATTTGACATTTTCATACAGCCTAGTTTCCCCATGAAATTCAGCTTACCATTTATATTGACATATTAATGAAAGCTGTTTCTACATCTATTAACTACTAGTTGTGAACCATACATTCCATACATCTGTAGCTCCCAGCAGCTTGTTTTTGTCTCCACTGTCTCCCCTCCCCAACCTACACCCAATCTTGTTTTTTTTTTCTTCCTTTTAACATCTACTTTCTAATTTTCATATCATAGTTGTACAAATTTATGGACTACAGAGTTATAGGTCATGTATACGCTGTGTACTGATCAAATTAGATCACTAAACATGTCCATCTGTGTCTTTTTTAGACTTTTTCCTATAGTGTCAGCCATTATAAATAAGAAATCACAGAGTTTGGATGGAATGATTTTTTCTTTAAAAGAGAAATTATTTTGACAGCACTGTTTGCTGGCATTTAGATTAGAACATCCCCTTAAATATCATTAGATGTTCCCACTGATTCAAGTCTAGGTTTTAGTCTTTGTATTATTTTGTCTATGTCTAGTTCCCGTTAATTCCTAAGATAGAGTATCCTTCAGGAAGTCCAGTTGAGCACATCTCTGATTACTAGGGTCACTTTTTCTTGTTGGGCCTTAAATACAAAAAGCTTTCAAAGTCTGCTTGATTTCTTAGCTTCCTATAAGCACTTTCCTCCTTGTCTAGGTCTGCACAAGAAATAGCAACTTCCTCTAAGGGAAAAAGTACAAAACGAGTCTTTGTTCTACATCTCTCCTTTGTGTCCCCTGCTTTGATGCTCAAGTTCTAGTCATTTACAGAGCCTATCATTCCAATACCTAACCTCTTCCTGGAACCACGTGATATGGCCAGAAGCCTGCTTAATTTCCCATTATGGAAGCTTTTCATACTTTTATATTATGTTGCTAAAAATTAGCAAACACCTTGAGAGGGAAAGAACAGTAAAGAATTTGGTCTGAGGGAACCAGCAGTTAGCGTAATGGCTATGTCGCTGGACTCCCACGTAGTCGACCGCGGTTCGCGTCCTGGACCCGGTGGCTTAAAACTCACGCCGGGCACGTGTGTGTGCGTGCCCAAGATCCCGAGAGGAGAATGGAGGAGAAGGGATTGCGGCGTGACCATCC